ATTTTTATTTTTCACAAAAACATCTGCGGTTTGAGTCTCTGACAAACAGAAAACTACAACACTGAGACACAGAAAACCCCCGTCCTTTTCCTCTTTTCCTCTGACACATTTAAACAGAACATGGTCTAAAAAAAAGTCTGTACAATCAAAATACAAAACTGTTTCAAATATCAACAGCACATGGAAAAAATAAAAACAGAAACTAACATCACAAGGAAATCCCTCCAGTCGTTTCATCTGAACATTCAAGAAAATAAACACTGTTGTTCCCCAGTCTGAGTCATTTCCCGAATTTTGCAGTTATCTTGACTTTATTTTCATGATTTTACATTTTATAATCATTTAAAAATGTCTTAATTTCAGTTAAAAGGAGTTCACAAAGGAAGTTTCATAATGTTTCGAAACACTTCTGTAAAATCCTGTATTGCTGTAAACACAAACACGTCAAATCACTCAGAAAACACTCGGATCATTTGTCCTCCGTGTTTCTCTGCGCTCTAACTCTAACAAATTTTAAGAATAATACAAATATTTCGTGTAGTTTTTTTTGTGTTTGTGTGTTGCCGTAGTGACCGGCGTTTTTCAGAAGCGTCTGAGCGTGTGCAGAGACAATTCAGACGCAAATTCTGCTCTGACTCAAACTGGACTCTGGTCACGTTTACATGAAGTTTTTAGTAATAGTTCTGAATTAAAATAATAATTCTGAATTGAGGTTTAGATGTTAAACTCGTTAAATCCTCTTTATTTAATGTGTGTGAGCGTCCGGGGGTGGGGAAGGTTCTTGAACATTTTTACGTCTTTGGGAAGAAAACACACACTTCAGCTGCTCCCGGCTTTTCTGTCGTCTCAGTTTGTCGTTACTCCACGGACACGAACGTGATCTAAACTTTTCCCGCAGTGGTTCTGGAGATAATGAGAAAGGAAGAGCGTCGGAGAAGGGAGGAAGAAGACAAACTCTGCTCTACCCCGGCCCACTCCCACATCCCGCTCACAAATCCAAAGAGACGTGGATGAAAGTCAGAAGCCAGGGTTCCCACAGTCAAGGAAATCCCGGAAAAGTCGTGGAAATTGAAAATGTCATCTTCCAGGCCTAGAAAAGTTATGGAATTTTAGTATCTCTTTCACACAACTCCAGTGTTCTGTTAAGTTCTCATGAGTCTGTTCTGATTATTTGTGAACGTTTGTGCCTTTTGTATAAAAGAGACGACAATAAATGCACTGACAGGATTTAAATGTTAAAAAACTATAATCCCAAACCATAAGGTGAGTGGAAAGAGTGAACATTTCAGATTTAGTCCTAAAAGTCTGAACAGTGGAGTCATGGAACATTCACTTTACCTCATGAAAAAGTCAGTCAAAAATGTATGAAATTTTGTCAGTGTAAAAGAGTCAGAACACTGAGAAGGGCAACCCAACGAGCATGTGATGACCACCGGAATTATTTTTAAGAAGAATAAACGTGAAACATGATGCAGGAATAAATTTATTCGGCTTTAACATCAAAATAAACCACCCACTCAATTTGGAATTAAGTTTAATTCCGAATAATCATTTTCATGGTCTGTTTAAAGTGGATTTTTATTCAGAATTAAATAATTTTTATTCAGAATTAAAGCTCTCATGTAAACGTGGCAAATCACACATGTAATGAAAAACATTTAAATTCAGGTATTTTGTAACTAAATACATTCCTCCCTTTATTCTTAAATTCCAAAAAATAAGAATAATGTTCATGTAAACCGGGGAAAATTACTGAGGTTACATAACAGAAATACACTTATATAACATTTCCCCCAAAGGTCCTATGATGCCCATAACACTTTAACTTTTAACACAGTTTATCACTTAAAATCATGAATCTAAATGAAAAAACTCCTTTATTTTATGTGCATAGAAAAACAAGTATGTCCTCTCTCGCCCCCTGTTGGCAACAATGGGAAATGTAAATGCTGTTAAAACAATAAAAGCTGGTGTAAGTTTTCAGAAAAACATGAAAATTGGCGCTAAACTGTTCGAATGAAACAAATCTGAAACAGGAAAACAACATTTAACAACTTTGGGAGAGATTTTGTCCCTAAAACTGGTTAAAAAATACAATATCAACAACTTTCTGAGCCGCTGCGTGAGTCTCGAACTTCAACTTCGACCGTAAAAAATGAAAACAGTTCATTTTGGAGCCACACAAATACACGTTTTTTTTGTAAAACCGTTTAAATGTTCTTGTGTGTCGATGGCTTCCATGTCGTGTGCTCCTCGTGTAAACACCAAATGGCTTCATCCTCATATTTCACTTTGTAAAATACGTTTTTGTGCCGCCGTTTAAATTAAATGTTCCGTCGCAGAGTCTTTGCTATAAACCGACTTTCTTCTTCCTCTTGGTTTAAGCTAGTCCTCCATTTTTGTAGTTTTGTAGTTCCACCAGTTTGATGTCTCCAAATTTCAACCACATGAAACAAATGCTTCTTTCACTAGGATTAAACTAGGCGTCCATTTTTGTAGTTTTGTAGTTCTGTGAATTTAACATCTCCTTTTCGTTTTTAGATTTTACTTCTAGGATTAAAGTAGACGTCCATTTTTGTAGTTTTGAAGTTCCACCAATTTAACATATTTTCCTTTTTAGCTTCTTCAACTAGGATTAAACAAGGCATCCATTTTTGTAGTTTTTGTAGTTTTACCAATTAAACATCTTTTTCTTTTCAGCCTTTTCTTCTAGGATTAAAGTAGGCGTCCATTTTTGTAGTTTTTGTAGTTTCACCAATTAAACATCTTTTTCTTTTCAGCCTTTTCTTCTAGGATTAAAGTAGGCGTCCATTTTTGTAGTTTTGTAGTTCCATCAATTTAATGTCTCTTTTTTCCTTTTTAGCTTTTTCTTCGAGGACTAAACTAGACGTCCATTTTTGTAGTTTTGTAGTTCCATCAATTTAACATATTTTCCTTTTTAGCCTTTTCAACTAGGATTAAACTAGGCGTCCATTTTTGTAGTTCCACTGTCATGGCAGCTCGTTTTTCCACATTTCAGCCATATGGTCCGATTGCTTCTTCATGTAGGATTAAACTAGGCATCCATTTTTGTAGTTTTGTAGTCCCACCAATTTAACATCTTTTCCTTTTCATCTGTTACTTCTAGAATTAAACTAAGTATCCATTTTTGTAGTTTTGTAGTTCCGTGAATTATACATTTTGTTTTTGTAGTTTTTTAACTCCACCAATTTAACATCTTTTCCTTTTTAGCTTTTTCTTCGAGGATTAAGCTACAGGTCCATTTTTGTAGTTTTCAACAATTTAATTTAGTTCCAACAATTTAACATCTCCTTTTCCATTTTAGCTTTTTCAACTACAATTAAACTAGGCATCCATTTTTGTAGTTCCACCGACATGGCAGCTCGTTTTTCCGCATTTCAGTCGTATGATCCAATTGCTTCTTTGTGTAGGATTAAACTAGGTGTCCATTTTTGTAGTTTTGTAGTTCCACCAATTTAACATCCCCACTTTTCAACCGCATAAACGATCGCTTTTCCTTTTGTAGTTTTGTTGTTACATCAATTTTACATTTCATTTCCAATTTCTACAGCCTGAACCGATAAGAGTTTTTTGTAAATTTTAATTAGGCATCCATTTTTGTAGTTTTGTAGTTCCACCAATCTGACGTCTCTTTTTTTCCAAATTTCAAACACATGAACCAACTGCTTTTCTTCTTGGATTAAACTAGGCGTCCATTTTTGTAGTTTTGTAGTTCCACCATCTTTTTCCAAATGTCAACCACATGAACTAATTGCTTTTCATCTTAGATTAAACTAAGTGTCCATTTTTCCGTCCATTTTTCATCTTTTTCCAAATTGCAAACTCATGAACCGATTGCTTTACCACTAGGATTAAACTAGGCGTCCATTTTTGTAGTTCCACAGTTTTCACCCACATGAACCTATTGCTTTACCTTTTTGGTTTAAACTAGGCGTCCATTCTTGTAGTTTTGTAGTTCCACCAAACTTGAGATCTCCTTTTTCCAAATGTCAACCACATGAACTAATTGCTTTTCCTCTTGGTTTAAACTAGGCGTCCATTTTTGTAGTTTTGTAGTTCCATCAGTTTTACGTCTCATTCCGAATTTTTCAATTGCTGTTCCGCTTTAATTAAACTAGGCGTCCATTTTTGTAGTTCCACAGATTTCACCCACATGAACCTACTGCTTTACCTCTTGGTTTAAACCGGGCGTCCATTTTTGTAGTTCCACTGGCGTTTGTAGTCCTCTCACACGAAATTTCACCCGCACGAAATGACCGTGAAGCGTTTGGAGATGCACGACATGTTGTGGAGGACGATCCCGAGCAGAAACAGCAAAACGCAGGCGACCAAAATAACCGTACAGATCCCGGACCACGCCGACCCTTTCCGCTCGACCGCCAGGGCTCCGCGATGCTCCGATTCGCCCAAACTCAAATCATCCAGCCCCATCGCCAGCCTCTCCTGCTCCGGGATCGCCACCACGGCCACGCCTTTCTGCTGCGGCGCGAACCGGCACCCGACCTCGCCCGGCAGCGCCAAATTCCGGGCCTTCATTGGGAGCGGCAGCATGTAGCATCCGTTGCTGGGGAGGCGGATGAAAACGGGAGTGCGCTCGGAAGCGTGCGGGATGGCGATGACCGTGACGATGTCGGGGTCGTCCGGCAAGTGGGAGACGGAGAGGTTGGGCGGGAGTTTGGTGACGCCGCGACACCAGGGGCAGCGGATCTCCTTGTGGGTGCTGCGCATCTGGGTGAGGCACACGGAGCAGAGCGTGTGGCGGCAGTCCAGGAGTTTGGGGCGTCTCCTCGGGCTGTAGTAGTTGAAGCAGATCTGGCATTCCAACGACGAGTCCTGCGAGAGGGTCTCCATTTTGGGGGGAAAGTCGGAAAACGGTGAGAAATATCCGAGAAAAAGTTCAGCGAGGAATTGTGTCTGGCCCAGAGAGGATTTTAAGGTCCAGGTCTTGAGATGAAGTCACGCGGAGTTGGAGTCTACATCTGAAAAACAAAGAGGAAAAAGAGAAATGTTCGTTAGATAAATCAGCTCAGATGGTTCAGGTGGTTGTATGTACCGTATTTTTTGGACTATTAGGCTGCGTTCAGACTGCAGCCTGAAGTGATCCAAATCTGATTTTTTGGCCTCTATGTTCCTGTATCTGATCTTTTAATGACAGTCTGAACAACACATCAGATTTTTTTCAAATGTGACCCAGGACACTTGGATATGTGCTCCTGAAACTGATACATATCTGATCTTTAACATGTGACTTCAGTCTGAACGGTCAAAGTGCATTCATCCACCTACACGTTATCAACAAGACACAAACGTCACTATTCTGCGCTGAAGTAGGCGAAAATTGTTAATGAACTCCATGTCACTGAAGTGAAGCACATCACCACTCTTGGCTCCGTCTCCACATCCACACGTTCCTTTTATAACCAGGGTAAGGTTAGGGTTAGGGTTAGTCAATCCGGTTATCCAGATCCAACCCAGGTTTTCCCCCACTCCACATGACTTGTCACCACCCATCACACCGCCCATTTCACCAATTATCCAATCACACGTCATCAGTCAGAGTGTATAAGGTCCTGACTTCTCTCTCCTCAGTTGTGTGGGAGAGAATCAGGGGACAGAGCTTGAAGAACCAGACCCGTTGTGCGACATTGTCATGTGCTGATCATTTCAATACATTGAAACAATACTGAACTGGCCAGGTGCCCAAACTTGGGTTTAATTTGACGGTGAACTAGGAACTGTCCTTTTGAAAGAACTTCGGTCTGGTAGGAGGCTACTCTCCTGTCCTCTGTCTCCCACCTCCTCCAGCTACTCCACCACTTAACTGTTCAATCAACTGCGCTTAATGCACATCACACCCCCGCATCATAACTAATACTGGACTCTGATGTAGCTTGGACTCTGTTTTCCACACTGGGCAAACAGACCCACGTCTCAAGGACATTTAACTGATTGAGTTTGCTTGATTTTTGTTTGCTGCAGCTGATGTATATTTTGTTATCTCACTTTTTTCCCTGTATAAAACATTATTCACTTTTCAACTAATCCGTTGTCTCAATTTACTGCCCCTGCCTCCTGTAGCCTTACCTAGGATTCAACTCTGCTAATTACACATAGTAGGTTATTACAATTACAATTATTACACATTTGTTACACTTTTATTACCTAGTAATAAGCAAACACTTGTTACACTTTCAACAGACACTGTCCCACAAAACACCACGGCCAAAAACCTCGTCCTTCTCCTTCTCAATCTCCTCCTTAAAACAAGTCAGTTGTTCATGTTGTGGCTCCGGTACGAGAGGAACTTTAAAATCTCCAGGTGCTCGATGCTGCGTCCATGTTTGGACAACTTCTGTAAACACAGAGACGCTCACTGCGGTTGACGTCGTCGTGTCTCCAGTGTCACATGAGGTTGGTGTGGCTCGGGTATCTGTTCTGGACGCCTCCTGGACGCCTCCCTGGAGAGGTGGAGGCCCCGGGGAAGACCCAGGACACACTGCAGGGACTATGTCTCTCAGCTGGTCTGGGAAAGTCTCGGGATCCCCCCTGGAGGAGCTGGAGGACGTGTGTGTGGAGAGGGAAGTCTGGGAGACCCTGCTCAGACTGCTGTCCCCGCGACCCAACCCCGGGTAAGCGGAAGAAAATGGAATGGAAATCAATATCGTAACCAGCTCATGGTGAACATCTCCTTTTCTTCTAGTGAAATATGATCACACTCGTCAGAACTCGAATCCAAGACAAGACCAAAACCAAGCTCCACCAAGACCGTCAAGACAAGACCAAAACCAAGCTCCGTCAAGACCATCAAGACAAGACCAAGTCCAAATGTGCTCAAGTCCGAGACAAGACCAAGACGGTAAAAAAAAGGCGGTCTCGAGTTCTACAACACTGGGTTTCTCACCAGTGTCTCAAGTAGGACTCCTGTTTTTGTCTCCTCTGTTGCTTTTAGTGAATTTTAGGAGAAACAAACAAGACTCAGACCAGAAAAATCTAGAACTACAACGAGAACTTTGTCTTCAGAGCTTAAAAAAAAAAAGTCATATTTGAGCTGCAAACTTTTCCTCTGCTCCTTTAAAAGCTCAGAAAACAAAACAAAAAAGATAATTTTGCATAATCTGTGTCCTTAAACTCATCCACAAACCAGCGCTCTCTCCTTCTTTATTATTCCACCAGTTTGCGGGAGGGCATCTGGTTTAAAAACCTCATCTGTAAACCCAGTGATCCTGACCAAACTGAACAGGTTGTTGTATAAATATTAACGGGACATGAATATTAAAGTGACACGGCTCCGGGTTAAACATTCGCCCGGGAACCAGAGGATCCGTGGTTTAAATCTGACTCTGCTGACGTTGTGTCCATGGGCAAGACACTTCCCCCACTCACAGAACAGAGATGTGACTTAAGTCTTAAATCTGTCTCCTCCGAACGACGGGTTTAAGGACAAAACGAGAAACGAGTTAAAAATAACATCTGTGTCAA